TGTACTACATGTACATGTATAATCAATCGTATAGGGACTTTCATCCTATTTTAAGCAATTTTAAAAATTCATAATAAATCTAATTTTGATTAGAATCAGCTCAAAGTTTCTACACAACAAAAGTACATGTACATGCATATCTTACCACTGGTTCTTTTCATTGTTCCATTGTCTGCTAACATCATCAATTAATAGAACTTCTCAAATAAATATTAGCAACCATCTTTATGATGGCCTGTGAGAAAAATGAGAAAATTCTTAATAATAATAATAATAATAATAATGATAATAATAATGATAATGACAATAATGTAAAATTACATGTAACACATGCTACATACCGTATAGCGAAATTTATTGACGAGTAAAAAAATTGATGAAAACAGTAAATTTCTTCAGTTGGCGAATTTTAATTTGACGAATAGTGCTCTTCGCATACATGTGGCACAAAGTACAAAATTTTTGACAATTATTAAATTTGACGTTTCATTTTAAATAGTCAACTCGTCAAAATAAAACCTTCGTCAATAAATCCCGCTATACGGTAATACTTACATGTACATGTACATATTATACATGTATATTACCTTTTTAGGATCCACTGGAGGGTTGATCATACATGTATGAGGTGATGGTATAGTCAGGAGTGGTATGAGTCACAGACACTTGTCCTGAGGCTGATTTAATAATTGACCTCTACTATAAGCACCAATGAATACCTCACCATCACCTCTACTAATATTTGATACTGATGCTGTTATTGCTAAAAGGACTGACACTCCTGCTACACTTACTAATCCACCTACTGCTGTTACACTTGAAGTTATTGGACATGTCAATACTAGAGCAATTTTATTAATTTTGATGATATTTATTATTATTCTTTTAGAAAGCGTATGGCAAATTTACTAGAAAAGATGAGGTATGACATCACACTATATTAATTATTATTGATGTTGCTTATTTTCCCCTCACGTTTTTATAGTAAATGTTTGGGGGTGAATCCTACTTAGTAACGCTACTGCATTACTAATAATTTTGTATTGTTTTATTACTGACCCAATTTGTAAAGCAAATTTCTAAAAATTTAATTTGATTGAAATGAGTAATAATCATTATCATTTGGGAGCAATTTTAAAATTCACAAAATTCTATTTTGACTAGAATTAGCTCAAAATTTTTATGCAGTATACCGTATAGACGGAAAATTTTGTGGGAATTTAATTTTGCGCTTTGCGTTTTAAAAATAAACGCATAATTAAAAACCGTAAAATTAAAATCACGTGGGCTCAATGGGCGTGTATCATTAGCATCATGGAGAGTTGCTTGCTTCTTTGTGACATTCTAGTACTTTGTCTATGACAGGATCCCAGTTTTCCTTGTAGATATGATCCCCTCTCACACAGCTATCGATTGTTACAAAATCCATCAACGATCTTGACGTACACGTGGCATATAAGTGGGCGTGGTCAAGACAATGTGGCCAAATCGCATAATTTTAATTTGCAAAATTAAAAAACATTCAAAATTTTTATTGAAAACGCAAAATTAAATGCCGCAAAATTTTCCGTCTATACGGTAGAGCATGTAAATGTATAAATATGCATCAGAATAATAGTTAACAGCATGAATTAGAGTATACAGCATAATAAAGTGAGAAAGATGTAATTTACATTTTGTGAGTTGTAAAAAAATTTCAGTGCTCAGCTTTCATATTTTTAGTTGTTCCAAAATTTGACAAAAACAACCTGTACTATCACATGCACATAGTACATGGTGTTTCATCAAAATAGCTGGGAGAGAATTTTCCATTTTTATTAATT